CTCATGGCTTCACTGAGTTACGCAAGCCCCTTCGCCACGACAAGGCAGTGATCCATGAAGGGGCCCTCTGTAGAGCACATTGCAATAATACAATCAAGACTAAGGCATGAGTGGCCATGAACAGGGTCCCCCAATCCAGGAACATGTGCAACTGGCACACAAGAAGGAGCTGTGTGAAGGCCCCCCTGGTAACGGCTTCCACCTGCTATTTGAGCAGAACTGTGAATCTAATAGGACCCCAGATTGCACATGGAATCCAAGCAAGGCAGTACAACCCCTACCAGATTTAAGGATAAAATCTCTCCTGTTCTAGGAACTGTGGGACCCCAAATCTGCAGCCACTTAGTCTCAGTTCTCCCCCACCCAGATCCCCACAGCCTTCAGACACTGAGACAGAATCTTGGCAGCTTCACTTGGACAGCCAGGGACAGACATGTAATTGATTATCAGTCAGCTTTATTGAAACTATGTCAGTAATTAAAAGGTCAGAAACTAAAAATACTGAGGACTTTTCTGCCAGTAGAATCACTCGTCCTTTTAAGGATGTCATGCCAGCATTCTAAAGACACAGTTCTTAATAGACTCTTGCTCACTAACTACTACTTTGTTGTTTAAATGTTATGTGCTGTTGGAGACTCAGCATTATTATCTCAATTGTGGACTTTGCTCTTTCACATTGGTGGGCCTCTTTCTCTCAGTATATTTTTGGTATGATTAGGGCTGTTCTACTTGTTATAGTTACGTTTTCTTTATGTTTTTTCTTTTACTTCACTCAAGCAGTGAATTGCATTATGTGCATTAATGGAATATTACTATTAGACTAAAAGTATGTATTTTAAATTCATTCAGAGCAGAGCCCTTCTTTACTCAACAATAAGCAAATATTATATGGTTATTACTATAGAATTAGACATGTCTGTATCCACTTAAATTAATGATTCTAGGCATTTATACCTTTGAATAAAATTGGGTTGTTGATGTGTTTTACTGCTTCAATAAAGTTAAAAAAAAACACACTTCCTACCACATATTAGAAGCTTCCCTGTTGCACAAGGTCAGGTTAAGGAAACATAATGTCTGCAGGTACCAAAGTGCCATGAACAATTCCTTTGGTACCTGTCAGGCTCCATGCCACATCTGCCATTTTTAAAAACACATTCCTTTCATTGTTTCTCAATGTATGGGAAATTGGCATGCTGCTTGTCCACATACATTTTTAGTATATAAAACTAATAAGTAGTTGCAGCTCCCTGCTTTGTTTGGAAGTATGCCCACCACCTAGAAAAAAGACAAAGGTAAGTTGAAAGGAGAAGGAATCTAAAGGAGGTGGTGGCAAGGAATAACTTTACTTGTGTTTTAAGTGCCCACAAAATGTTTGCAAAATTTCCAATAAGCCTACCAGCTTCAAAAGACTTGCCTCCCCTTTACTATGCAGTGCACAAATATGGAAATTAAGATGGTTTATCTTTTGTTATTTATGTTACCAAGTTCTATATTCTTTCTTTGTAAGCTCAAAATCACTGTACTGTAAAGATTAAGCTGAGAGTCATTATACCAAACTGTATAATTCATAAGTATATGCAGAATGTCTTGGAATGACAAATCCAGGGGCTTTTTGTTTGCTTGTTTTTCTCTCACTCTGTCATGATGCCTGGCCTCCAGCTAGAGAAAAGTTCTTGCTAGGAATTGTCTGGCTTGTTTGTACATGGCACTTAGAAGAGTTTATTTCAAACTTATATTTAAGAAAATAATAAGCCTATCCTGTGTAGTGAGTTAGGGCTAAAATGAGGCAGCACGCGTACTTCAGAGAGAAATCTAATTCTTGGGCTATGATGAGGTCTGATTCATTTTTTTTTAAAAAAGGCCTCCACGTTGATCTTAAAAATTTGGCACACGTAGAGCATTGGAAAAGTCTCTGTAGAGATGGGTCCAGATACGGTTTTGTGTAATCTGTCTAGGCACTTTCTGGAATGTGTGGGTGAAACACTGTGCATTACTGTAACTTTAATTAATGCTAAAAAAGACATATGGAGCAGGAAAACAAGGGCACACCTTATTTTAACAGCATTCAAGGACATGGGGATTCTCTCCCCCCCCCCCTTTTTTTAAGGGAAAAATAAATATTTTGCCAGCACAAATTGATTTAAGTGACAGCCCAATGTAGCAATTGGCAAAACAGCATTATTTGTGTTGTGTTCATGTGGCGTTCCATCTGTGTTGAAAGAATTCATGTCAATTATTTGACAAATGTTTTGGTTGGAGCTGCGTGTATTATGCTGTGCATCCTGATAAAGCCTCTGAGTACAGTATCTTTTTTTGCCATCACACACAGAGTTAAACTATTGTTCATATGAGCCATTTAGTCTTTTCTAGGGACAGGTGTTTTACCTATGGAGTCTTTCTGAGGTTTTCTGCAACAGAAAATGCCACTGATGTTTGTAAATGCCAGTTTAGCAACCTCTTCCAATCTACTGACTTTCAGGTGTGTAGGACTTGCCTGGGAGTTAAGGAGTTGAAGTCCAATCTGAAATGAAAGGCATATGTTCTTGCTGACAGCCTCTCTTCTTTTCTGAGGAATGTGTTCCTCGATACTGTCTTCCACCCTCAAGAGTTACTTTCCCTCAAAGTAATTTGGGGCTGTTTCTTATAGGTAGCAGGAAGGACCAGCTTCAAAGGTTGGTGTGGGCAGGGCCTCATTCTACCCCTCCCTTGTGTTCCTTGCCCAATCAACTGTTGGGGGTGGGACACAACATTTCTGTCAGAGGTCTTACTGGTTGTTTGGTAGTGCTTTTGAATTTAAGCCGAAGGCTATCTTTTCTAGACAGTTTGTCTAAGATGCTTAGACAGAAAGTTTCCAACACAAAAGAATGTGAGGTATTATGACTGTACATAACAACCTGCCTCATAAATCTCACATTACATGTTTTGCTCTGGAAATGTTCTTTGGTCTAAAGCCAGACATTTAAGAGAGGAAAGTTTAGGGTTTACCTTATTCCATGATGATAAGGCACCAGGGTGTGACCCCAGAAAAACTAGTTTGGAATTCAGAAGATCATTATGACAGGAGTAAAGATTTAATTTGTACCTTACAGGTCTTAATAACTGAGTGTGATGGCCATTAGATGCTAAATGCAAGAGTGCAAGAGTGAGTTTATTTGTAGCTGTATTTGCAGCTCACCCACATGCTCTGCTCTCCAACCAACAATACTGTACATGAAGAGAGTCCACCCTCTGAGGATTGTCATGCATGGTGCCTCGGTGCCCATGTACGAAAGGGGAAAGCACAAGGCCTTCCTCTGGCCTCAGAAAGGAAAACTAAATCCAATCAATTGTACAATCTTTCAAATATTTATACAGATATACACAGGTCATTCTGATAGCAGAGAAAAGAGGAGATATTTGGGGAGAAGAGGTAGATAGTTATCCCCATTCTTTGGATTGTTGCATGGGGAGATTTTTGCAACCTATTTTTCTGTGCAATTGGATTACAACATGCTGGCTAGGATGGGTGGAGTTGGCCCATTTCTACTACTGTACTTTGACCTATTCTAGCACAAAATTCTGGAACTCTGAGTCATTCTGCAGGTGACACCAGGCTAACATTAAACTCTGCATTGGGGAGATGAGATGCGCACTCCACTGGCTTAGAGGGAGGCGACCCGGAGCTTTGCTGAAGTTCTGGACTACAATTCCCAGCCGACGTTCTGGACTACAACTCCCAACATTCTTTGCATTGGCCGTGCTATCCGGTAATTACTGACACTAACAACCTCGGTTTGTGCATACAACAGTAGCGACGGGCGCCTTCCCCGGCTCCCCCACGCGCGCCAGGACTCATCGGCTCGGACTGTACTGAGCCAAGTCAGAGGCGTGTAGCTCCCTCTGGTGGGCACAGAGGTAGGATGCGAGCAGCCAGTCCAGTCCCGTGTTTTTTCCCTTCCTCCACGGGGAACAGCGCATCTATGAGCAAGGAGGTGAAACACTCAGCCAAGCCCTGGCGTTGGGGTGGCGGAGGTTTAGGTGCGGCATTTGAGCTACAGTAATATTTGCTGCTGCGACCAGGCTGAACTGCGGGTCAGAAAAGCCACCAGCAATTGGTGTATAACAAACAGTATAGTATGTTCCGCCACCTGCAGAAACTCGGCAGATGCAGGATAACTTCTCTCCGATCTCCAGGTGGGGCACAAGACAAAGTGCGGCGTCTCCAGCCTGGAAAAGGTTGCCCACCCCGTGGAAGGGTTAGCAAATTGTGGCCGACGGTCAATACACAATAGTGGGGTGACCGTGGGTTGAACTGGCGTTGGCATGGCAATTTTTGAAACTGCTCAACGTTTTCCAATCGTTTCAAATGCACGAAGTAAGAATGAATACGATTTTCCGCCTTTATTCCTATCAACTGGGGGAGAGGCAAGGCTGGCAGATATGCTGCTGCCCAATCCGTTAAAATCTAAATTACCTCTCTCTTTTGAGGAAAACAGCAGTCGCTCCGGCCCGCTGGCGAGGAAAAAAAAATCCATTCCAAGTCCCGTCGTTCGACCGCGGGCTGATTATCTACCAATCGTAAAGTCTATGGTGGTTGACTGCTTCCCCTTTTCTCCTCGCCCGCCGAGAGCCAAGTCCTCCTGGCGGTGAGCGACGCTCTAGGCTGCCTCGTCTGCTCGCTGCTGCCGGCGTCTCCGACCCGGGCTGGACTTGGGCGAGGGACGCGGCGGCGGCAGCGGCGGCGGCTTCCGTCGTTCGTAGCCTGCGCCGCGCCTGGACGGTGCCGCAAGTATTGACCTCTCGGACTCCCCCCTGCCCAAACCCGCGCCGTCCTCCCAAGTCACGGCGGCCAGATTATCCCGCATCCCGACGTTGCCTTCGCCGTCCTCCGGCCTCCTCCTCCTCCTGGCGGTTCTGCCGCGGCGCCGGCGCCTGCAAGCCCACCTCGCTCCCACCCTTTTCCCGGCCAAGGACAGCGGTTTTCTCCCATTTTCTTTGCACCCCCGTATTCATTGCCGCTCTTCTTATGATTCACTTGTTACCCTCAGATTTCGGCAGTTTCTTCCCCTTCCTATCCATAGCTACATTTTGCAAATTATTTTCTTGTATTTTAATCCGCAATCCCTCTGGGGAGTGGAGTGGAGTGGAGTGGGGTGGGGGTGCAACAATCTTTCGTCCTGATTTTCCTTTTCCGGTAATAATTTTTGGAGAGAGAGCCGTTTGAATCTATGCCAGTAAACGCAAGGCATTTTTGTGGCACTATAAAGACTAAAAGTATTTATTAGGACATTAGCTTCATTGGAAAACTGTTAAGCCATTGCTTTCCTCAACTACAGTGCTGCCTCACACATAATTGGCAAATAGTCTAATTTTGTTCATGTGCCAGTAAGTCAACATTATTTGTACGCTCTGTGGTTATCTTTTAATTCTCTGTAGGCTTCTGTCTTCCTAGGACTAGTAAATGTCTTGAGGATCGTATTATACAGAATGGCAGTGTAATCCCTTTTTGTGTGACAGAAAGAACTTCACTTGCTCCAAAAAGACTGTAATTAGAATGTTTTGCATTTTTCTTCATTTCTGATACATAGAAAATTGCTAGATTTGATAACAGCACTTTATTTAGTGTTCTGTATCTTTGGCTTTGGTGTAAGGCTTTGCTGACCAGTGTTAGAGAGGCAGAAAGAACAGGAATTGATTAGAACTGAGCATCCTTCCCAAACCTAATATTTTTCAGCTGTTTTGAGAGTGATGTAGTCCCTGACATCTTGGTTTCAAACCAGTGAATGAAAAGTATGTTAGAACAACAATATTATTTGCTGCATAATAGAAAAATGAAGATGCTCTAGGTGACATTGCATCAGTTTTAGGTGTGAAATAATATAGATAATAATGGAGGTTGATGATATTGGATAGCATGTTTCAAAAGGCTCTTCCTCGTGCCTGGGTTAAAGTGCTATCCAGCAATCCAGAAAACTATACCAGAATAACATTTGCTTTCTTTTGTGGCCATTCTTATCCTGCTACAGGCATGATGGCAACAAATGCTGCTGTTCTTAATGTGGGCTTGGTGCGGGTTTAGCCATCTGCCAGAACTTGCTGTGGTTTTGCACAGGTGTTTTGTGGAAGAGGGCCCAGCTATCTGCTGATGTCAACTGATAATTGGATTCATTTTGGACAATGGTTTAGTGCTGTTCAAGAAGAGCACTGAACCTGTGTTCAAAAGTAGATTGAACAGTAGCTGACAAGCATGGGGAAAGTTGAACCATGAAGAAGCAAAGAGAGAAGTGGCTCTTTTTCTCCTGCTTTACTAACAGTCACCACTGCTGTCAGCTCAGAGACTTGTCAGGTAAAGGGGAAGAGTCCAGTTTGAAAGAACCAGACTTCCTTCCCAAAGTGGAATGGAGAATAGTGCCCAAGGGCTATATTTGCATTAGGGCCAATGGGGTCAGGCCAATCTTCCCCGCAAGGGATTACCTGAGTGTACCAATTGTATCTTCAGCAAAACCTATGTTGGAATAAAGAGGAAAACACCACTTTAACACCAGTACAGCTAAGGACATGCCAAGGCTGCTTCAGGTGTGGACTAGGAATCAAATAAAGGCAATGCCATGAGGACATCACAGGAAAAAGGTTTCTGGGAGATGTTTGTGCTGCAGTTAGATACAAATGAAGAAAGGCTCTTAAAAGGCAATATTTATCAAGTATTAGTAAACAACAACAAGGTTTCCTAAGTTGAAGCTTATACTGTCATCTCTCCTAGATCCAGGATATAATGCTAGCTCTCTGGAAACTATAGTTTGGAAAGTAGTATCCAACCTTATAAATATGTCCCCCCCCCTTTACATTTTGAATGACTTCTTCCTTCTTTTCCTATATTAGTTAGGATTTTGCAGTGACATTTGTGTTATCTTAGTTCCCTTGAAAATCAGAAATAAATTATCATGGTTTGAAATTTCTGCACAAACAGTAGTTAAGAGAAGTTGTGTTTTGTTCTTTGTTTAATATATAGCCATAATTAAACACCAGTGAGGGAATGAGGAAACTGGTCTGAAATGAGACTGTTTTTGATCTGCAAACAGTGGCTTGCAGTAATTCTTGTCAATTCTCTATTGGGTTGAAGCATTTGAAGGCAAACAGAGAATTAATATTTGTGGTGCAACCTCAGGGCAAAACTTCATCAATGTCAGATAAGTGTTCTGTAATCTTCTGCTTGAGGCGTGCTTGCATATGTTATTGTTCAGCCTTTTCCCCTAGTCTGTAGCTGTTCATATAAGACTGCAAGTTAAAATCCATGGAGCACATAGTATATGCATATTGAAATCATAACATGGATCTTTCATTAGTCCTTTTTTGTAATATTTTTATTGAAGTTTTACATATATCAAAGCTAATACAAAACTAAAAAAATGTACAAACAAAAAAGAAAAAGAGAAATATTAAGAGAAAGAAAAAGAAAAAAGAGAAAGGCGTATAAAAGGTGACTCCCCCTCCGAACAAGGATAAGCATTTATAGTAACTTAACACCTTCTCTAATATTACAGAAAAAAACCTCTTCTTCCCATTTCTCATCCCTAAACAATAGCCAAATTATAAAAAAATATTCCTCAATCTTATTCAGCAAAAGCATTAAGAGTACCAGTAATAGTAAACTATGTATTTTAAACTTAGACAAATACATCTGTTTTGCACTTTAACTTATGACTTTTAAAATTTCTTACAGTTAATTCCAAAAATCATCAGCTATATTTTTATAAAATTCAGAACAATCCATAGAAACTATTCTTTCAGGTCCATCTGGCCCCTTAACTGTTCGCAGTCAATATTCTTAGCTCACTTTTGCTGTTTTCTAAAAGTTAAAGGTTCTTTTTTAAATCTTAAGACTTACTTAAATCTTCTTTCTTCCAGGATAGAAGGAAATTCTCCCAGCGTGCAGCAGCTTGTCTTTCAGAAGGTTTTTAATTTCCAAATAAAGCACAAATAAGTAGTTTTCAATAGTAATCAAAAGAGGGAGTGAAAGCAAATCTAGTGTCCTTTGAAGGCTCTGCACCATGGCTTGGGCTCGATGTTTCGACCCTCTGAGGGTCGCAAATTTGTAATCTCTTCCCAGGAGCCTCTGTAAGGAGTCCTTGTGGGTGATCCAGACACCCCCCATCTTTATCCAGAGATGGTTCCGAAGAGCCAGACCTTTTGTTGGCTCCTCTTAACTGCCACGGCTGTCGGCTCCGCAAAAACTGAGCCATCCTCAATCTGCCATTACTCCCCTGGAAGCTCCTATCTTTCATCAACCCTGACTGGCTTTTGCCTGTTCATTTGTTGTATTTATATTTGTTGCTTCACACGAGAAAGATGCTGCAAAATAATGATACGCATTTTCATTGGAACAGTCATAGTTTATTTTAGGATTGGTTGACTGTTGATGGTCCTTAGAGAAATAATAAGTTGCACATTTATTTTAACTTAATTTATAATGGATTTTCAGGTATGGGGGCAAGCTATTCCTTAATAGCATAATATCAGGGAATCAGGAAATGTATCATAAAGGAGGGACTTCCTGTTGTATAAGTTAATAGTTGTTATTGCTATTTTGGTATAGGAGTAGCTTTCTCCTGTACTGTTTTTGTGAGAAGAAGCAGTCAGAGAACCACTTTAGAAAATTAAGTAGTTGTAGACACTTTGTGCAGAAGCACCTTAAAAGTTTAACTAAAATATTATTTGAATATCTCTTGGTTGTCTTTTAATTATGCAGCAGGACAGTGTTTATAGAAATGAATTAGCTATTCCTGTTCAGAAAAATTGCTAACACATTGAAATGACTTTGGTATGTTGTAGCTTTACTGATTCTTTTTCCATTCTGCAATAACAATGAGTGAAGCTTGTTTTGTGCATGTTATGCCTATAACTATATTAGGGATGCAACTGCAAGTTTTCTTCTGTAAAATATTGTTTGTTGATTAATTGCAGAATGTTCGGAACTCCGGGCCTGCAGAAACTAAGTGTGATTTACAACCAAGCTGGAAGCAGCCAGCAAAACAGCCAAATACAACATGGAAGACAGGTAAACTTCCTGAGAACTGAAGTATGGACACTATTTTACCTGGGAATTCTAACAACTTTTTAATTAATTAAAATTGTTAAAATTAAACTTTGTGCAGGAGCAATAGGACTTTTCATTCAGAGCTAGGGAGAGAAACAAATTACTGTAGGAATATCTGAAACCCAGAGCATCAGAACATTTTAAAACAATGGTAGTTATAAGACACAGACATTTTTTCACAAGCAACTTTAGATATGTCTGTTTAAGCTCTCACATTTGAATCCATGTAAAGCAAGAGCACGCCTAAAACATCTGGAGCTCCCTTCTGGGACTGCAAAGGAAATTCAGTTCAGTACTAGTAAGCAAAATACCTTTCAAGTATGTTTGTCATTAACTTGTCTTCTCACTGAGGAACTCTAAATAACAGAGGAACATCCATAGTTCTCCAAAATACAATTTGAAAACTATTGTTTTAGGTTAAGGAACATTGATTACCCAACCTTGGGATATAAAGTATTAACTTTGTTTCATTGATGGTGAATTATGTTAACTATTTGTTTATTTTCCTATTTGGTAAAGTGGAATACCAAATTATTCCATAATGTTGTAAAATATAAAATAATATTTTAATTAAACTTTTATGAATTGAAGCTTTCATTTTAAATTTCTAATTCTCATTGTGACATAGATGAATAGCAAGCTTTCTGCTATAATTCTGCCAGATAGTAAAGAAGAGGTAAAATTAAAAAAATGATTTATTCACAATGCTCAGCCTATATGAATAGAAAAGGAGACTGTCAAATACAAGTTGATAGTTTTGGGGGATTAGTAATTTCAAATGTTTTTACTTTACTCTCTTCTTCATATCAGGTGAAAGTTGGCATCGTTTCTATGAAACCGTAAATGACTTCTTGGCATCTTGATTGCCATGACACCCAACAGAGGATTGTGTGGAAAATGTGGGAATCCTCCCCTTGATAAACTGCTGACAGCCATGGCTAGGTAAGGTTTAAGCAAGGATATGATGGTTTGTCTGAAATCCAGTACTTATGGGCTGATAGAAATGTTCTTGTTTGTAATCCTAATACAGCAGACAATAATTGTCTCACATTGTTGTGGTTTTTTCATGGTGGAGATTTGCAGATAGTGGTCTAACCACTGTTTTTCTTCAGTGCTGCCTGAACAAGATCTAGCCTCACTTGAAAATTATTGTAGTTGTTTACTGGTCTGGGACCATAAATAAAGAAATCGAATCATTGTGCTACACTTGCAGTACCAATTCACTCTCAGCAGCACTGGAGCAGCCACAGAATCCTGTGAATCCTGCTTTAAAAAGCTGCTGACACCTTTTTCCCATTAAATTTGAAGCGCTGCACCAATGTATGGCATACACTCTTGGCTTTTTTTCTGTATCTGTGATATATAATCATTGGGTTTCTGAAACATTTAAAAGATGTTGTTAGAAAGATATGGTTTATGTTTTGGTCTTCATTATTTTGGTTTCCTTAAGTTCCAGGGTTTGCCCATTGTTTTGACACCATGGGAACGTGCTGCAGTAGCCCATGCCGAGACAGGGTTCCAGATAACCACCCCACCAAGTTTAAGGTAATTTATATGTTTTTCATCTTTTATAATGTGTTCTTCTACGAATATTGATCAGCGTAGGTTAACCCAAACAAAATTTCATCTGAAGACTGAAGTAGCATTGAAAAACTGTTTTTACTGAGACATTTTTTGCAGTCTTCTTGCTGTTTTCTTGAGCTAAGTATTGCTGTCTTTGAGCTGAGAAAGTTTATCTTCCCTGTGTATTTCATGGGGCAGTAATGTAAAGCTCAAGTAATTCTGTTTCTCAATAAAATAGCTAAATTTTGTCCTCCCTGTTTGCTTAACATTCAGTTTGAGGAAGGATTCTGGAGGTCTGAAACAAACATAATTTTGTGACCTCTTGTGCATGTTTGGTAAAGGTATTTCATGATTGTGGATTTGGAATGTCTTCTGAGGTGAAGCATTAACTTGGATCTATTAGATGATGATTGGTACTAGACAGTAATGTTATGCAGGGAATCTTAGGTAATATTTCCAAAGTAGAAACACAGTGATTAATAAATGCATTGTTAGTATTACAATATGCTGAGGTGCTAAGAAAACACTCCTTATGTCACCAGAGGGAGCAACTTCCTGAGTAGCTGAGGTCTTCTTGTTGATGGGCTAGCACTGACTCTAGGTATACCTGCCTCAGATATTTTCCTGGTAAGGAAGTCCTCCTCTAAAGCAGTGTTTCTCAATCTTGGCACTTTAAGATGTGTGGACTTCCACTCTCAGTCTACTGGCTGGGGAATTCTGGGAGTTGAAGTTGGAATTCTGGGAGTTGAAGTCCACACATCTTAAAGTTGCCAAAGTTGAGAAACACTGCTCTAAATCTAAAGCAGTGTTTCTCAATCTTGGCACTTTAAGATGTGTGGACTTCCACTCTCAGTCTACTGGCTGGGGAATTCTGGGAGTTGAAGTTGGAATTCTGGGAGTTGAAGTCCACACATCTTAAAGTTGCCAAAGTTGAGAAACACTGCTCTAAAGCATTTCACTACTCTATAAGAAAAAAATGATTGCCTCAAGGAGATATGGTTAGGCTGGTGTACCTTCCTGAATAAATACAAGCTACTATCTTATAATCCCGCTGTGTCTATTTATATGATGTTTAAATGACAACTGACTTTGGTTTCTACAGGTGACAAATGTTGATGATGAGGGCAATGAGCTGGGCTCAGGGATTATGGAATTGACACAGAGGGAACTTGTTTTGCACACTCATAAACGCGATGCTGTTCGGTGGCCATATCTTTGCTTGCGTCGCTATGGCTATGATTCCAACCTCTTCTCCTTTGAAAGTGGACGTCGCTGCCTGACTGGACAAGGTCTGTAAATTTCTCACCAGACAGCAATGATTTCAACACTTTCTTGTTGAGGAGAGCTGTTAAATTAAGGTAACATCTAGTTTCTCTCCTTATGGGATGTAATAAATTTGGTTCAGAAATGGAAACAGTCTTCTAATATGATGTATAAGGAAACTCACATTTTGGTTTTCAGATAAATATTAATTAGAGAACATTTTTAAAAAGCTTATTTATTCCAGCATTCTGCTCCATAAAGGCCAACCATAAACCAATGGGAAGTCTAAATACCTTGTATTCAGATATATAGCACCTCTCATATTAACAGCAATTTATGGATGCCCTGGCCAGTGTCCTCTGATAGCCTTTTAAATCCATATTATTGTGTCTATGGTGAGATTTACAAGATTGGGATTAGCTCTGAGATCATTTAAATCTTTCCATTACATTTAGAGTGGTGAGAATACAGGTAGTCCCCAGTTTAAGAACGAGTTCCATTCCCAAGATCTGTCCTTCAATTGAATTTGTATATAAGCCAGAACAGTATTGCATAATATTGTATAAGTAATATTGTGTAATTAATTCAAACCATTCTGTATTTAACTCTAATTTTGCTACAACGGGCTCGGTTCTTAACTATGGGTCATCTGTAAACCGGGCGTTCTTAACTCAGGGACTACCTGTATATTAGAAAAAACAATATCATTTTTAAAATCTGGATTGTATTCAGTCCAAATTAAAATTCCAATCTAATTCCAGTAGGGCTGGAATGAATAAAAATGGCATTCTAATGTTATTATAAGAGAAAGTTGATGCCATATCCTGGCACAGGATGTAGCAATATCTAAATTTAATAACAAAATAAATAAGTAAATATAAAATTATCTTGTTTTATCAGCTCAGAGGCCTATCTAATACTTTATCTCCATAAGTGGCCAGAATATGTTTCTGGGAGACTAGATATTTATTTACAGTTTCTCATTAGCATCTGACTTTCAGAAGCATAGTGCTTCAGACTATGAGGACCCAGTTTTAGTTGCTTAATTCTTTATTGGAGCCCTACATACTATTGATAATCCCTTGTCTTAATAGCAATGAAGTTTATAAATGCATTATATTTATGCTGAATCTTTTGAAATCAGGCTAATGTTTTAGATAATTATGAATGAAATTTGTGATGCCCCAGGCTCTTATGCATTTCTTTTTCTCTTCTCTGCTTATATGAGGAGAAGAATGAAAGCTTCCACTTACATTTCAGAATAAACCAAATTTTGGGGTGTTTATTTCAATCAAAATTAATTGAATCCAGACCTGGGGACAATACCACAACTCACCATAACCCTGTACTAAATTTGAAAAGTATTACACAATTGGTTACTGTTAGTTGCAGTATTCCTACTGAAGAATAGAAGCACAACTATTGAGGCATCACAAGATTATATCTGTCTGTGTTATGTAACATGGTATGTCTTTTCCAGGTCATGGTACTCCACTCTTCCACTTTGAATAAATAATAGAAATGAATGGGCAAAGTGGTTCCTGGTTTAAGAAATTATCCCTGCTTTTCATTCCTATGACTATAGATTTTGAAAACCATAAGCAAGGATCTGTTCAAGAATATTTTCATATAGAAATGGTTTTGTGTTACATATGCATCAGTACAAACAAGGCTCTGCTTGTAACCATAATTGCCAAGCCCTCTTCAAACATGGTTTCACTTTTGATTTAGAAAGGAATCATAGTTTGCATTATTCATGCTATGCATTATTTCACATGTACGGGTAGCCCTCGAGTTACGACAGCAGTTGGAACCAGAATTTCCATCGCTAAGCAATGTGGTCGTAATGCTCAATATCACGTGACTGCATTGCTTAGCAACAGTCATCCCGGCACTCCCTATTGCTGTTAACCGAATTCTACCGGTCATTAGCTGAGGATCTGCCCCAATCCAAGCCATTCCTGGCTTGGTCACTCCCAGCCCTGAGCCTTGGTGCTTCCAAGGTAAGGGACTGCCTCTCCTTCAACTCCCCCCAATTCCCTATTCCCCCCCATCTCTGCCTTTTTAGCCACCCTGCACCCTGCCTTGTGGAGCAGCAAGCAGCCCCAGAACTGCGTGACTCTGGGGTTGCTTGCCACGCTGTGGCTCAGGGATTTCTTGGCATGTTGCAGCTCTGGGGCTACAAGAAGCCCCTGAGCTGCAGTGTGAAGCCCCAGCTACCCTGGGAAGCCCTAGCCACCCCAGCCCTGCCCAGCCCAGCCCCTGCGCTCCATGGCCCCTGCTGCCCTACGCTCCGCCACCCCAGCTGATCTTCTCCATCTTCTTGCTCCTGCTGCTGATGAGGCATGCCCGGCCTGGCCCTTTGCAAGGTAGCTGCTGGCCACTTGGGGCCTTTTTTCCCTGGTCTTGTGAGGAAATGGCTGCCCGTGACCTCAGGAAGAAAGCCTTGTGTTGCCAGTAGCTGCCTTGCGAAGGGCCAAGCTGGGCATGCTTAGTCAGCAGTGGGAGCAAGAAAATGGTGAAGGTCAGCAGGGGGTGGCAGAGCTGCAGAGTGCAGAGAGCCAAAAGGGCACAGATGGGGGGGAGATAGGTGGGTAGGGGAGTTGAAGCACCCCTGCAATTTAAATGTGGGTGGGTGCCAAGTGCCCAAATTGTGCCCCAAATGTGGGTGGGTGCCAAGTGCCCAAATTTTGATCACATGATCAAAATCATGTGATGTTGCATGGGGGCTGCAACAGCTGTAACTTCGGGGACTAGGCATAAGTACCATTCATTCAACACCACCGTAACTTCAAATGATCGCTGAACGAATTATCGTAAGTCGAGGACTACCTGTAACGTGATACTCTGATTTTGGTAGGAATAGTATCTAAGTTGGCTCCCTATTTACAACCCATGGTTTGTTCACTGCTGGATTTGTCTGTGCCAGCAACTTGATCTTTATGTTACAGGTAAAGCTTTGCAATCACAAAAAAATGCTAAAGGCCTTGGCTCAAAGCAGTATGGATAGAAAGGCAAGTTTGATATTCAGTGGTTGTAGGATTCATTCTTTCCCTTGCATTATATGGATGTTCTTTGATTCATTTCACATTCCTTTCCCTAAGGGCTGGCTTTTTAAAGCTTATTTCACTTGAATGATAATTCTTAGTATCAGGAAGATAAGACAAAAAAGATGTGGGGTTTATTGACATTTGTTTGTTTCTTTTAAAAATCCAGAATATTTTTATTCAGAATTGCAGCTGTTGTTGCCATGCTCTTGTTCTTGTTGCTATGGGTTTTTGGTTCATGTCTGTGCATGCCAGTATCTGATTGGTTAGTTCAGAACAGAGAGACAATTGATAAAAGTATTTAAGGGCAGTGGGCAGGTGTTGCAGTTTAATCTAATACAAAAGCAAGTTACTGTGCTTCCCAGACGTGTGCCAGCTACAGTCCTGTTAATCGCTGAATCGATGAAAAGACTTGCATGATTTGCAAGAAAGGATCAAACCTCAAAATTGAGCTGGCAGATATAAATGGAAACAGCTAGTGAAGTTCTTTGTGCAGACTCATGCTGTTGCAGGCTTACTCTGCCCAAGTAAGATAAAGAATGTGTTGCCCAAATACCTACAGGGACAGCATAGGGCAAAATTTGCCAAGTAATACTAGTAATAATCCTAGTAACTTTGTGTTTTTTCCTTTTTCCTTTCCAACTCTGTTTCTTAGTTTGACTAGAATGTGGAAAGTACAAGTGAATAACAGTATAAGTGGAATTGCTGAGAAAATTCTGTTTCAGTTATTTCCTCCTTTATAACCTTTTCATTACATCATAATAATAAGTAATAATTTAAATGTACTATTTCATAGTCAGCAGTTCTAGGTTATGTTCTGACTGTGATTGTTCATGCTGTGTGTATTTATATCACTGGGATACGTGTAAACACATCCAAATATTACAGAACACTTTTATTCTTGGCCAGAATGCTGCAAAACTAGTCAAACCAAAATTCCATTTTATGTATAACACAGTGGCTGAAGATAGCTGTCTGTCTGAAAAAATTTTCAATACCCAAAGATCTGTCTTTTGATTTTGACATCCTAAATAGTTTGAGCCCAGGGATACCTCAGGGATCATGGTTTTTTCTCCCCAGCCTCTTGCAAATGATGCACTTATAATTTCAGAGGCCCTGAAGCTCTTTAAAGAGGCAGTCTCTTTCTTTTAACCTTTAAATAAGTGTATAATGAAAATGTCATTTTTTGATTCATTTGATTAATTTTTTGCTGCTACCTTTATTAGTAACAATTATACTAATACAATTAGTATAACTAATTATTCCATTAGTATTTAATTGGTATAGTAATATTTATGAACTTTGAGGACTTGACCTCATGTCCAAGGCTATAAATTAAGTTGGTAAATAGTCAGCATATTTCTAAGGGGCTACATTAAGGTGTAATTTCAGTACCAGGCCTTTAGTTTAGTGGGTTGCATCTTAATCCTGTTGTTTTGATTTGTCCAGATTTCTATGCAATCATATTACTTTCACTGTTTTTAGTAATCTGCTAATGCTTAGAATAGAGCTATATGGCCAAAGTTTTACCAAGTAGTGGTGCATTTTGGTAGTAACTCTTTATGTTTACCTGATATGTATTTTTTGCTTTAGGGAGTGAGAACATACTGCCATTAAAACAGACTTTCCTTTTCTTTGCCTAGGAATTTTTGCATTCAAGTGCTCAAGAGCTGAAGAGATATTTAATCTGCTGCAGGACCTGATGCAGTGTAATAGTATCAGTGTGGTGGAGGAACCTGTTGTCATTACAAGGAATGCAGCTGAACTGGAGCTATCCCGGACTCCCCAGACACCTGATAGTGAGACCCTCTTACAAACCGGAAGAGATAGGGGGAAAAGTTCTATGTTAACTTTTACTCTAGAGCATTTCTTCTTGGTCAGAAGAATATTTTATTTTGATAGGTGTTCGAATGTTTGTATGTGGTGAAGCCTTTCTTTAAGCATGTGCAAAACACCTAGTGTGATCCCTGCTAATTTTATAGGGATTTGGTCCTGCTTAGGGATCAGTGTTAAGTTGCTTCTTTCCATTGCAAACACTCATGGTTGAAGCCATAAGGTCAATCCGCTTCTATAATGTAGTTGTAATCTTTATGCAGTATTGGGCATTTCTGACCTATGCAAGAGAGTCATTGCCTTGTTTCTACATACATTTTCTCTGAACCAGGGTTGCTTGTAGGGCTCAGCACATTTGTGGCAGTTATACTTACCTAATTCATCTTCAAGTAGATATTGTTAATTGCGTAATCATCTGGTCTCCTAAAATCAAGTCTATTATTTATGTGCTTTGCTTATTGTAAAGCTTTAAGTTTTATGTGGGCTTGATGTTCTGTTTCCAAGGCAACCAAATACAATTATCAGATATGCTTAAGTTTCCAGTAAGATATCACCCAAACTACTGTGGAAAGCATACATGAGAAGTAGTAAGATTATTATTTGATTTGGTTATCTTGTCCTTTGCTTTGTTGTGCACTTAGATTTGAGGTAGGTACTTTAACCTAGGTTTTATAAGTGTTATCCTGTCCCATTACAGTAGAGAACTTCCTCAAACAATCTGGCTCCATTGGCCTATTAGCGAAGTATTTGGGGGGTTTTGGTAAATGTTTATATAGTTTTGTGTAAAGCTGATGGTGCTCCTGTTTCTTCATCTCTTGGATATATAGTCCCAGGTTTTCCTAATGGGTTCCACAGCTTCCCTTTGGAGCCCTCATCTTGCCCTGCAGCCCGCCATGCCCCCATGAGTAGTCTAAGGCATTCTTCAGTTGGGGAGGACTCTACGCATGCTCTTATTATCCCTGATGGGCAAGTAAGTATTACTCGTGGTATGTGGAATATGTCACCGCACCAATTATTACTAACTGTGCCAGTTAATTTTAACTATGCCAGTTAAATATTAACTGTGCCAGTTAATGTTATTGTAGGAAAATAAGCGCTTGTTCTTTTTCACTCATGCAGTGCTGTTTCTAAGTTTGTTTTTCAGGAAAAGTTGCTTATTGAGAAGATATATTCATCCCTAGTTATGGGAAAGTCACAATATTAATACCTTCTCATTGCACAGGGTTTTGATCATTTTACCTCCATCACCCTCAACTTAAAAAAAAAAAATCTAGGATGGATTTTTCATAACTTTGTACACTGTTTTCTTGATTGAACACTGTTGTGGTATTAAGTGTCTTTTTTCTGCATGCAAGATTTGATTAGTAAAATAATTTCTTGTGATAGAAAAGGTGTGATCTAATATGGATAAATGGATTTTAAAGAAGTATTTCTAGACAGGAATGTGTTTACAATTATTAACCACCAGAATCCAAGTTTAAGACCTATGGTACTATGTTCCTTTTTAACATTGTTGCTGCTAAAGATCATCCTATTTATGCATTTTTAAAAATGTCTGTGCAGATACTTATTAATCCTGTGATTCATGATAAATAATGCAGGGTTTCTGGACAATCTTTATTCTCAGCACCTGCTAATATTTCTTTTCTCTCTGTAGTCCCACACCTATGTAAACACAGCCAGCGGTGAGGATGATGTAAGGGGCCACCACTGTATGCACTCCTTACCTGAAGTTCATCCTCCGATTCCCCATTCCAACCATAGCTGCTCCCTGGAGGACCGGAATCCCCAGGTTTACCTTCAGCCAGGAGAAGTGAAGTTTGTTTTGGGCCCAGCCCTAGGTTATAGGCACATGATGAAATGTGATGGCTACTGTCGGCCCCACTGGGAGTGCTCAAGGCATTTCTGCACCCCTCACAACAACAACAACAATGAGTACAAAGACGAGTGCCTCGCCCCCAAGTGTGTTTATGAGAACCTCAATGGTCTGCTGCCTTCTCGAGGAACCTTGCTTCGTCGGGGCAGTGGGCGCTTGAAAATTCCTCGTGACGATCTGAATCCTGCCAGTTGCTCTCATCGCCGGACCACCCTACTGCACTATGAGAACCTGCCATCACTGCCTCCTGTGTGGGAGTGCCAGCCCCTAAGACAGGGCCAGGATGAGGACGACTCTGGTGATGCAATGACACCTTCCTCCAGTGGTTATCCAGAAACGGAAGAAGATGACCCTTTACGAAACTACATGAACTCAGAAAGGGTTGCCCTACATGGAGGTCTGCGCAGGGGAGGTTGCTTACAACGGCGCCGCAGTTGTACACCCAGTGTTTTCAATTTCGACTTCTGCCGGCCCTATTTGGAGCAGCCAAGGCAGCTCAATTATATCCAGGTGGAACTGCAGGATGATCCTTGTAAAGGGCGCCAAAGCATACCAGTCCCCCATGTCCCATGTGCGGCTGCCCATCCAGCCCGCAGGACCAATTCCTATGCGGTCATTGACCATAAAAAGACAGCAGCCATGTCCAGCTTACAGAGAGCACTGCCTAAGGATGATGGGACTTCCAGGAAAACACGACATAACAGCACTGACCTGCCTCTGTAAGAAGAACACTCAACCCAAGCACCTCATTGTGGCTTTTGTATCTGCTCTTCAACAAATCATGTCACATAACTGCCATCTTCCCATTGTGCCCCCCTGTTACTCAGTGTGAGTCACTGGAATAGTTTCATCAAGGTAACTTAAGAAATGTAGCCTATCTGTGCCTCTTCCGAGCCTCCTTTTCTCCTGCCATATATTTTCTGAAGCTCTGCCATGTGCTTGATTACCTGACTTCCCTGATGGCAGGGTGGATAATGGTACAGTTAGAGCTTGAAGGCTAGGGAAACTCTATTTAACTTTTATTTTTGAAAATAGACAAAAAATATATTTATTTTTAAATTTTGCATTAACTTATTTTTCAGAGATACTTGTATCAGTTTGTTTGTTTGTTTGTTTATTTATTTATTTATCCAAGTTAAAGTGCCCAGCAAATGTAATGTTGAATTGCTTTGCGATTAATTCTTTTCTCTGTGAGAATTAGGAAAGCAGTAAACGGATAGGTATAGTATCAAGTTTTTTAACAAGTGTAAGGCCAGTTATCAAAAGGCAGAACAGAGGAGGAGATTCAGGTTGTCAGAGAATGTAATGCATGCAAGAATAGTTCTAAACTCATGCAGTCCCAGGGGTGACTCAACATGCTGACAAAGCCTAACTTCCCAGCTCCAATTTCTGTGATTGTACATCTCATAAAATGCCTCTCTTCACCCTCAGAGCAGGAATAACCATGGAACTATAAATCACCCTATCACCCTAACAAATCCTTGGTGGACCTTTTTAAACTGTTGCTGCTTGCCTAATAGTCTGGTATAGTCTGTCTGAGAAGCCAATATTCTGATGTATATTTATATGATACTATTTTGCTGGAATCAGGTAGAACTTTTCTTCCTCCATTTTGCTTTATTGCCTCAAATCCAACACTCTAATATTGTCCAATACATACTATATTATGCCAGTGAAGCCCAGGCCACCATTTGCAAATAATTGATTTGGGGGGGAAAAAACCCGCAGCATTTTGGGAAGCAAAGGACAAGCAAAGGTTTGCTTATCTGGGACTTTCACAGTTACTTTAGGGTAGTAATAAACCTACAATAGGGAATACACATTCGGTGGTCATTATTTATGTATTTGCTGCTGTTGGCCTTCCCAGAGACAGCCTTTCCAGGAATAAATGCATTTGATCTAAAGTTCAGGCTTTTCTGAAAAACTGTTTCACTGAAGCCATTAATAAAATGCACTGTATGTGACACAAGCATTACAGAGTTGGGGATTAGGAATCCTCTTGATAGTAAGTTATGATTTCCATGCTTTCCTTTCCATATCTGGTAAGAACTGTCCCTATATAATACAGTTTTAAAAAATGCTTTTCATGTTCACATTGTATTGGAAAATAAAATGTTTGCCTGTTTTGTTTTGGATTTCTAATGTAATCTATCCCAAGGAGTCCAAATCAATACTAGTATTTTGAGCGATAAGCTTAGCGAAGCCAACAATCTAAAGTATTCATAATTTAGATAAACATTAATCATTACAAGCTGATCCACACCATTAAAAGCTTACTTGAACAAGAATATATTGCAGAAGTGTTGAAAACTGCTTGAAATTATGTTTTTAAAAACTGGTTTTAAAGTCATTTTTCTTAAACCTGTTTATTGCAAAGTGCTATTCTGATTTGTTTGTTATTTATTGCTCGCCATATTGTCATATTCAGAAACACATGCTTTGCATGTAGAATACCACAGGTTTAAGCAGGAGTGAGAATTCCTGTCTGAAATACTGGAGAGTTATTGCCCATTAACATAGATAATATTGACTTAGATGATCAGTACCATGCTCCAATATCTTATATCCTTTATTTTTCAGTCTCCGTTCCTGTGTTCTTCTGCAGCATTACTGTACAGGTAGTTCTCAGTTTAAGAATGAGTTCCATTCCCAAGGTCTGTCCTTAAGTTGAATTTGTATGTCAGAACAGTATTATTGTATAATACTGTATAAGTAGTATTGTGAACTCAAACTATTGTGTATTTAACTCAAATCATTGTGTATTTAACTTGAATTTTGCTACAATAGGCTCTG